CTCTCTTTTAGGTTTTTGGAGGCGCTAGGTCTTCACGGCTGCCTGCAGGCTTTCTCTGGTTGCAGTGAGCAGGGGCTACTCTCTGGTTCTGACGCACGGGCTTCTCATCGTGGAGGCCTCTCTTGTTGGGGAACATGGGCTCTGGGGTGTGCAGGCCCAGTAGGTGTGGTACACAGGCTTAGCTACTCCATGGCGGATTTTCCCGGACCAAGGATTGAACCCATGTCCCCTGCATTGGCAGGCAGATGCTTATCCACTGGACGACCAGGGAGAAGTCCGAGGAACTAATATCTCTTATAGCACAGAAACATTTTCTCAAAGATCAGTAATTTCTTCTGTCCTAATGCAGATTCTTTTCTATAAGTTTAAGTGAGGAAAAATTTAATTCTCTCATTAAAAATAGAACATATAGCACATCTCATACTGTATGACATTTCAAATGTGTTATTTTTCTATCTATAGACATGCAAAGAAAGGTGCCAAGAATGTGCAATTAATGTTTAAAATGGTTAATTTAGGGAAGCAGGGCCAAACATGAGTTTTTAAATAACTTATTCCTGGTGTGTTCTACCATGTAAACATCTCATTATAGCCATGTATCACTTTCACAAACTTAAAAGTCAGGTTTAGATTATAGAAGCAAAAAAAAAAAAAGACTTTCATTGAATTTTTAAACAAAGCATAAAATATAGGGCAATGGTATAAAAACTTCCAGAACAATATAAAAATGTCTAAGACAGAGAGAATCCAAAAGAAGAAAAAAGATCACTCATGGTTCCACCTTCCATGACAACCAGAACAGTTCAGAATCAGTTGTAACAGTCTCCCCTTCTGGATAGATGTGGCTTCAGAGAGACAACACCTAACAGCTAACAACAAGCTGAATAAGCATCAGCTTGTATTTTCTCCCAATACTCTTAGGATTCATTTTAATTGCATTTAAATATTTAACTGACCAAAGTTTACTTTGGGTTTTGGTGCAAAGTCAGAATGAAATTTTTTCTGCTGTTTGATTAGTTGTCCTAAAGCCATGTGCTGAATGATCAATCCATTTCCTGCTGACCAACTTGAAATGTCACTTTCACCAAGTTCTGACTCAAAATTAAATAGCCCCAGGTATTGGGGCTAAAGGAAATCAACCCTGAATATTCACTGGAAGGACTGATGCTGAAGCTGAAGCTCCAATACTCTGGCCACCTGATGTGAAGACCCGACTTATCAGAAAAGACTCTGATGCTCAAAGGCAGGAGGAGAAGGAGATGACAGAGGATGAGATGGTTGGATGGCATCATCAACTCAATAGACATGAGTCTTAGCAAACTCCTTGAGATAGTGAAGGACAGGGAAGCCTGGTGTGCTGCAATCCATGGAGTCACAGGACATGACTCAGCGACTGAACAACAAGAAAGAGAAGGTTTGGGGCTTCCCAAGTGGTGCTAGTGGTAAAGAATCTGCCTGCCAATGGAGGAAACGTAAGAGACCTGGGTTTGATCCCTGGGTGTGGAAGATCCCCTGGAGGAGGAAATGCAACCCACCCCAGTATTCTTGCCTGGAGAGTCCTATGGACAGAGGAGCCTGTTGGGCTACAGTCCATGGGGTCACAAAGAGTTGGACACGCCTAAGTGTCTGAGCACAGACTGAAGTATCCCATCTCAGCCCAACTTTTCAGAGACCTCAACGTGCTCAGAAGCCGCTGGACCATGGAGCAGACTCTGTTGTCAGCTCTGCTCCAGCACCCTCCGTCGAGGAAGTCTTTCTCCTCCTGCTTTCCTGGTCTCTACTTCTAACTGTGTGACTATACTCCTCTCTGCGTGAAGCCAGGCTCCTCTCATCCCCCGCAGTGTGGTCGAGGGTCTGGTACACACACGGGCCCCCCCAGTCCTCAAGGAAGCCACTGCCCACGTGCGACAACGGGCAAGGGAACAGTGCCAGGCAAAAGAAAGGGGCCTTGAATTTTTGTTTTTAAACCATTAACTAGAATTACGCTTCATTTCTCCACCTCCACTTTGGAGATTCATTAAGGTACTAGTTTTACTTTTTTCAATAGTATTTCCCTTCCAGTGTTACTCCTACTGTTAATTATTGGCCATCCTCATGATACCAAAGCAGTAACAATCACGTACTGAATGGCTTGCCCAGGAGAATTCTGCTCTCCCAGGCTCGGGGCCCTGCAGGGAGGACCCGACCAGCCCCCGTGCAGACAGCCCTCCAGGGTGAGCACCGCCTCTCCAGTCCAGTTCACCAGGGAGAGGCCTGCGTGCTGAAGCCAGCCTCAGGGCCCTACAAGCTCCAGGCAGCTTCCTGGCCCACGGATCTCACTGTAAACTCGTCCTGGGAGTGGGCACGCCGGCCTCGGGAGCAATGGCTGGCCTTCCCTTCCGGCCTGGTGCCCGCCGCTGGGCCAGCCCCCCGCAGCCTGGATGCTTCCACCAGCGCACTGGGCCGGTCCGAAGAGAAGGCAGAGAGGGACACGGCTGCACCCGGGGAGGCTGAAAGGAGCCGAGCTCCAGCCAGTTCAGTGCTGGAGCCAGAGGGGCCTTGCTCACAGGCAAGAGGTGTGCCCCAGCGTGCTCTGCAGAGGAGGAAAGCGAAGGTCAGCCCAGCCAGCCCCCCGGGACAGCACGGCTGAAGGCAGCTCCCGAACCGGAGAAGACAGAGGGAGCCCAGAACCAGGGCCCTGGGCAGAAATCACGGGGAGGCAACTTCAGGTCCAAGCGACCGCCAGCTTTTTCTCCAGAGCGGCAGCCCGCCCTGGGACACAGGCAGTGACCTGGAACAGCACACACACTGCGTACACGCCCGGTCCACGCCTGGCCCGGGCAGTTACCTGACACACACACAGAACCGGGTGTCAGCAGTGCCGCCGAGGGGTCCCGAATGAAGGGAAGGTCAGGCCAGAGGACCCCCAAAGACTCCTGGACCCTGACCTTCACATTCCAGAAAAGGGTTACTCTTTCAAGTTGGAGAAAATTTATTAAGGACCCATTTACAAAGCTTAGCCTATTCCCTGGTGACTCAGATGGTAAAGAATCCACCTGCAATCCAAGAGACCGAGGTTCGATCCCTGGGTCGGGAAGATCCCCTGGAGAAGGGCATGACATCCCACTCCAGTGTTCTTGCCTGGAGAATCCCATGGACAGAAGAATTGGGCGGGCTATAGTCCATGGGATTGCAAGAGTCGGACACAACTGAGCGGCTGACACTTTCACTTTACAAAGCTTCATGACAGGATTTAGGGAGGGCAGCACCCCTCCTGGTGCCTGCAGAGATGTTAGCATCTCTAGGCTGGACATGCCAGTGGAGAAGCTTCTGGAAGCTGGAGTGAGACCATCTCGAGGGGAATGCCATCTCGACAGGAGCTGTCACCTCTGCTTGAGGGACACATTCAGACTGAGGTTACAAGACGGCAAGGGATCCTAGTGCACAAGGGCTTTGTTTATTCCCATCTCTGAAACTCGGCCAGGGAGTCAAGGACGGTTACTCTTCAAAGGTGGTCATGACCCAGAATGTGGAGAAGTATCAACCACACCCTTATATTGAGCATTACTGGCCTTTAGCAGGGCTTCCCTTATAGCTCAGTTGGTAAAGAACCCACCTGCAATGCAAGAGACCCTGGTTCGATTCCTGGGTTGGGAAGATCCCCTGGAGAAGGGATAGGCTACCCACTCCAATATTCATGGGCTTCCCTTGTGGCTCAGCTGGTAAAGAATCTGCCTGCAATGCTGGAGACCTGGGTTCGATCCCTGGGTTGGGAAGATCCCTTGGAGGAGGGAAAGGCTTACCCACTCCAGTATTCTGGCCTGGAAAATTCTATGGACTGTACAGTCCATGCAAAGAGTCAGACATGACTGAGGGACTTTAATGTGCATTTAATGATAAAAGATGAAAAATAAGTTTGATCTTCCAAGATTTATCATTAGACACATACAAGTTTCTATCTTTAAGAAAAGCTGGCCGAGCTAGCTGCTGACTGACCTCAAGCAGCATGGGTGTCACCCACAAGTATCTAAGATTCGACACGGCACTTACAAGCCGTGTAAAAGACACGTGTAAAAACTACCGCTGCATCTGAACAAAAACCCGTTTAAATCTTCTCAAGTATCTACAAAAATGAAGGCTGGGAAACTTCTCGGCATAATTCTACACGCAACCTCTGAGATGACAGGGGTTAAAATAAAGACTCTGACTGAGAGCATTCCAGCTGCTGCCGGAGCGGGGCAGGAACGGAAGCCAGGCTGCAGCCAGATGCACAGATCCACGGCCACGAGGGCGGAGGTCTTTTGGGGGGCTGGGAGAGGGCCCAGTCCACTGTGGGGACAGCACAGCCCCGTGGCCCCCACCTTGAGCCACCGCAGTCAGAACAGAACACCCAGGTGTCCGGCCGTCTCTGCAGATCCTGACGAAAACCCAGCCCTCCTGACCCCCACTTCTGGAGGGAAATCTGGCAGCTTTCCAATTGCTCTGAGTGCATGCATGATCAGTCGTGTCCGACTCTTTGTGACCCCATGGACGGTAGCCCACCAGGCTCCTCTATCCAGGCAATTTTCCAGGCAAGAATTACTGCAGTGGGTTGCCACTTCCTGCTCCCAGGGATCTTCCTGACCCAGGGATGAAATCCATGTCTTTTTCATCTCCTGTATTGGCAAGCAGATCCTTAACCAGGGAAATCCTCTAATTGCTCTGAAAGTGAAGTCGCTTCAGTCGTGTCCAACTCTTTGCAACCCCATGGACGGACTGTAGCCCACCAGGCTCCTCTGTCCATGGAATTTCCCAGGCAAGAATACTGGAGTGGGTTGCCATTTCCTTCTCCAGGGGATCTTCCCGACCCAGGGATCGAACCCAGGTCTCCCGCATTGCAAGCAGACGTTTTACCCTCTGAGCCACCAGGGAAGCCCCATCTAACTGCTCCAGGGAAGGGCAAACACAACGATCGACTTTACAGGAAGCAAACAGAGCCGACTGCGTGCCGGGCAGGGAGGACACCCGCGGGTCCCACACACCTGAAGTTCTGCATGAATTGCCGGAACTTGTCCACCCTCCTGGCCAGTGGCACGATGACGTTGACCAGCGTGCTGGCCATGTTCAGCTGCTCCTTCTTCACCTTCATGATGGGGCCGAAGGGCCGGAACAAGACCAGGCGCCGGAACTCGTGCTTGTGGTCCCCTCGGAACGTGAGCTCGTACAAAGTGCCCTTATCCCTCTCTGTACGGTAGATGCCTGTGAACAGACGAGAGAGAGCGCTGAGAACTCACTCAGCTGCCGAGTGGCGCGCACGGCCCAGAGCTGGCACGACCATTTTTACTGAAAATTCAGAGGACATCTCCACGTCTGATAATTATGAGAAAACTCAAAATGCTTCCACTCAAATCCCCAAAGAAACGAAAACACCATCAATTTAAAAATCACCGTTAATGAAGACTCTAGAAAAACCATGAGCAAAAATTGTGCCACGCTGGATACGAAACTGTATTTATACTTATTCAGGGGTCTTAAAAAAAAGGATGGTGAGGGAATATGCCAAATAAGATCAGCTGTGATGTCAGTCGGGGTTATGGTTTTTCTTTTCTGCTATTTATCTACATTTTCTGCCATATGATTAAACACTTTAATATTATACTAAGAATATTATACTAAGAATATAACATTATACTAAGAATATAATATTATACTAAGAATAGTATTATACTAATATTATACTAATATATATACTATTATACTATACTATATAATATAGTATAATAGTATATATACTATATTATATATAATATACATAATATTGTACTAATATACTAAGAATAATATAATATTATACTAAGAATATAATTACTAAGAAGTGTGTTAAAATTATCTCTTAGAAACGACAGCCGTTTCAAAAGGAGTGACCACAATGATCTGTGCGGGGCACTGGGGCCATCGCGTGGGTTACGTGGCCCCCACGGAAGCTTCTGGAAGCACGGAAGTAGATGAAGCCTGTGGGCCCAGCTCAGGAGCAGGCACACATCTTATGTAACTTCTCCTGCAGAAGCAGCACAGCCAGCGTGGCAGAGCCAGCCTGCCGGGGCCACAGTGGGACCCCCCGAGTAACACTGTCACTCAGACTCCACCACCTCCCTCGCTGGGGTGACCACAGGCCCCAGCATCTCCGCTCAACCGTGGGGTGAGGCTCCTGGGCCAGACCACACAAAACGTCCCCACTTTGTGAGTGAGCCTGTCATCCCCTGGTGCCTAAATTCCACACCTCCTCAGGGGCACTGGGCTCGTGGGCGTTTTCTCCTACCATCAGAAAAAATACATCAAATCCAGTGAATCACCAGACAGGCTTCCTCCTCTTCTCTGCGATTTGCTGGGTTTCCTCCTCTGCGTCCTTCCTTCCCCTGGGTGCTGTGATGTGCTTCGTCACTCAGCCGTGTCTGACTCTTTACGACCCCACAGACTGTAGCCCACCAGGCTCCTCTGTCCATGGAATGCTCCAGGCAAGAACACTGGAGGGGGTTGTCATGCCTTCCTCCGGGGGATCTTCCTGACCCAGGGGTTGAACCCAGGTCTCCTGCACTGCAGGCGGATTCTTTACCAGCTGAGCTACCAGGGAAGCCCAAGAGTACTGGAGTGGGTAGCCTATCCCTTCTCCAGCGGATCTTCCCGACCCAGGAATCGAGCCAGGGTTTCCCGCATTGCGGGCGGATTCTTTACTGTCTGAGCCACTAGAGAAGCCCTTCCCGTCTCATTCCTCCCTCTGAGTCCCTACTGTGGCCGGGACTCACCCCTGGGCTGAGTATCTACGAGGCGACAATGGGGAACGCGAGCATCCGCCGGGGGGCCACCTGTCTCCAGGCCTCTCGCGACCCCTCCTCCTTTTGTCCTCACCCCACCCCCTTTTGTGGGGTCTGCTGCCCAGCGTCTCTGTTCTTTGCCTTCCGGGAGCTGCTCACCCCACAGGCTTGCTGGGGCGGCCTCTCTCATCTCCCCCTGGAGCCACAGAAAGGGGCCCGGGAATGCGACTCGGCCAGGTGCTTCCCACCCGGGGCACGGGGACTCAGGAGTGAGTGCAGGCTGCGAGGATGGACGGGGCAGACCCCCCCGCTGAAGCCCCCGGGGCCCCTGGTGCGGGTAGGGGAGGCGGAGAGGTCTGCAGAGCTCCCACTGGGGCAGAATCCAGCCTCCCTGCAGGGGCCACTCGTGGGAGAAGGGAGGCACTGCTCAGGAGCCCGAAGGAGGTCTCTGAAAATGCGAAGCGTTTCCCTGCAGAGCCTGTTCGCGCTCTGGGGAACTGGTCCTCGCAGAGCACACAGGCGCCTCCCTCCGCCGCCGCAGCCTGGAGCCTGGGAAGCCAAGCTCCCAGGGCCCGGAGGAGGCGGCACTGGGTCAAGAAGCAGTCGATGGGCTAACCGCATCTCCACTGGGTGGAGGCAGACCTGTGACCCAGCACGCCACCCCCGGGCAAGGCTGCCACAGAACTGAACCTGCAGATAACAAGGTTTCTCAAAACAGTCATCCTCTTTCTCCGAACCGGGGTTGGAATCATTAACTTTTAAAAATCTAAACCGGGGTCAGAATCAAACTTTAAAAATCTAAATCCACAGAAGGTGCTGGTATACGTTTGTTTCAAGAGGTAGGCATCTATTTATAAAGAACCAGAGGATGCAGCATTTCGTATCATTAATGATTCCCACAACCGTGCCCTTGGGCAGGGGCACCAGCACCTTGGGGGAGCAGGCGCGGCCGCGGTCCTGGTTCCCGGAAGCACTCCCCACCCCACCGCCACCCCAGGCTCTCGTGGCCCCGGCCACGCTCACCCACAACCCCAGCTGTGCTCACCCACAACCCACATCTGGGCCTTGCAACAGCTGCCACACTCACTCTTTAGCCTATTTCCCCATACTCTAATTAAATCCATTCTGTCTTATGAGTCCGATTCTAGATCCCCTAATCCCATCTATTTTAAATAATCACTTAAAACTCTCTTGCAGCCTGTGTCCACCAAATCCCAGCCCTGGGTTCTACCACACCCCCCAGAGGCACTCCCTCACCCCTGCACCCCCTAGTTCTCATGGCATAAGGACAGCACCTAAGGAACCGCCATGCATCCTGGAAAAACCTTCAGCAGTGGAAACTCCAAAGATCCTCTCTCAGAGGGAAAGGAGCTGAAGCTCTCTGGGGCAGGACCAGGTTTTCAGCCAAGGAGCTGCGTGCACAGAGGCAAATGCAAAGCAACTCGGCTGCACGAGGCCCTCGCTGGTCATAATTTATAGGATGGTATCGTTCTTATCCACTCGGCAAAATTACAGATCAAAATAAGGACCGGAGCTGGCTGAGAGCTTAGTCTAGCACCTTTTCCCTCTCTCCACCCACAGGAGCTGAGCTGACTGTGAGTTTGGTGTTTCCGCTCCCAGTGCAGGCAGACTCGTGTTCATCCTCTCATCCTTCCAGTGGGGTGGCGGGGGGCAGGCCCCAGGACCACTGACAAGGTGGGGGCACCTCCAGGAGTCCAGGGTGCAGCTCCGAGGTCTGCGGCACACACGTCTGCTCCTTCAGCAGGCGAGGAGCTCGCCAGATGGGTGTGTGATCCCGACCTACGTCCTGTCTTCCACTTGGGACCTCAGAAGTCACAACGCCAAATGTCCCTGCCCGCCACACGCCAGCCCCCTCCTCCCCACCCTCACTCAGTCTGAGTGGGCATGGTGGCCAGCACCGCACTGCTGAGCCCAGAAACGTCTCCACTTTTATCCCTGCCCTTCCTACCTTGCTGCGTGGAGCCCAGGCCCCCTAGCTGGATCCCTCTGGGCCTCTGACACCCCTGGCCCACGTCCAGATCCATCCTGCACGTACCCTGGGCCCTTAGCTTCCCACAGGACCACCCTGATTCTGCTCTGCCCTAGCTAAGAAGGCCCCCGGCTTCCCATGGCCCAAAGTCCCAGGACTACATACAGCCAGGCCTCCAAACCCTCCCTCTAAGTGAAAGTCGCTCAGTCGTGTCTGACTCTTTGTGACCCCCACGGACTACACAGTCCATGGAATTCTCCAGGCCAAAATACTGGAGTGGGTAGCCGTTCCCTTCTCCAGGGGATCTTCCCGACTCAGGGATCAAACCCAGGTCTCCCACATGGCAGGTGGATTCTTTACCAGGTGAGCCACCAGGACACCCCCAAACCCTTCCTCACCCGCCCCAAACTCCTGTCCTAATGACTTGAGGCTAGGTCCTACCCCACCTCATGTGAAATCAGATTTATATCGAGCACATACAACTTCTCTTTCCCCTGGAGAAACTGGAAGGAATGTGAAGTGATGCAGCTGTGGAGAAGAGCCTGGCAGTTGCCCTCAGAGGTTAAACACAGAATTATATAATATGATCCAGCAATTCCACTTCTGGGTGTGTACCCAAAGGAACTGAAAACAGAGACCTGAGCAGGTACTGGAATGCACATTTTCACAGCAGCCAAAAATGGAAGCAACTCAAATCTCCACGAACAGATGAATGGATGGACGAAGTGTGGTCCATACACACAATGGAATACTGCTGCTGCTGCTGCTGCTAAGTCACTTCAGTTGTGTCCGAGTCTGTGCGACCCCACAGACGGCAGCTCACCCGGCTCCCCTATCCCTGGGATCTCCAGGCAAGAACACTGGAGTGGGTTGCCATTTCCTTCTCCAATGCATGAAAGTGAAAAGTGAATGTGAAGTAGTTCAGTTGTGTCCGACTCTTCGAGACCCCATGGACTGCATCCTACCAGGCTCCTCCATCCATGGGATTTTCCAGGCAAGAGTACTGGAGTGGGGTCCCATTGCCTTCTCCAATGCATGCAAGAAGTGAAGTCGCTCAGTCATGTCCAACTCTTCGAGACCCCATGGACTGCAGCCTACCAGGCTCCTCTGTCCACGGGATTTTCCAGGCAGGAGTACTGGAGTGGGGTGCCATTGCCTTCTCCGTAACGGAATACTACCCAGCCTTAAAAAGGAATAACATTCAGACACATGCTGCAACATGGAGAAACCTGAAAATGTGCTAAGTGAAGTAGGTCAGACAGAAAAGGACGACCGCTGTGTGATGCCACTCGCACGCTGTCTCTAGAGGAGTCAGAGTCAGGAAGTAGGCTGGTGGGCACCAGCGGCTGGGGCAGGGGAGGGGAGTCAGTGTTCACTGGGCACAGAGTTTCAGTCTGACGCCATGAGAAAGTTCTAGCAATGGGAGGGGATGACGGTTACACACAGTGTGAGCGTAC